GTTTTGGAATTAATCTCCTCAAATCTTGAATATCAGGCCATCCATATAAGAACTTTCCAATCACTGCATATTCAAGATTTTCATTAATAATCATCTGGTTAATTTCTTCCTGGTCCCATAGAACTCTTGGTTCTCCATGCAAATATGATATTGGCTTCAGTGGTATTGGCTTGGTGTTCGAAGGTGTTGGTTTTAGCGTGTTCGCATATGTAGCAATAGGCAGAATGGTTTTAACAGGTTGACCAACCTCTGTAGGAGGTTGGCCATCGGCCGTATTGGCCATCTCCACCGGAAAATAGGCAAAATAGGATTTAAACGACGGTAGGGTTTAGGGTCACCTCTCTGGCTTTGACTTGAATCTTTTTACCTCCCTTTTTATTATTTAATTAGTTTTCGAAAGCAATTTTTTGCTTCACTCTCCTTTTAGAGTGTGGATACCACGCTCTATACTGAGTTAGTAAAAAAAAGGCCACATAAGTTCAGTCAATGGTTAAAGGGTTTAAAAAGTTTCATTTTAATTGAGTTTAAGGGTTCAGTTGACTAAAGATTAAGTATAAGGGTCTAGAATACAAACGCATACAAATATAAGGATTCATTAGATTATTTCACCTAAAAGAAGAGAAGAGTGAGGAAGAAGAAGAGAGCAAAAATATTTTGCAAGAAAAAAAAAGTCACGCGCATAAAATTTGTGTAACACACATGCTTTGTTGAGTCAGCGAAAAGTGTCAAAATAACATAACAAAATTCTACATGAGGTGTCTAAAATGAACTTCGCTTAGTTGAGGTGTCTAAGTGAAACTTGGTGCCAAGTTTAAGGGGCTACCGATGGATTTGGCCTATATATTATTGAGTCATTGGAGCACTGAATTCAAATTGAGCATTGTCGAGCTCATTTTGAGAGTGACAATCTCAGTAAAATTTTCTCAAATCGAAAATTCATGATAAAAATGGAGCAATTCTATCACTACACCTTATTGTATATTTTCTCCATTTCTATTTAGTTACGTTGACATCATTTTATATTTTTTGTTTCTTAAGAAAATTAGGTAAGTTTATCATTGCATCTTTATTTTGTGTTCTTCTAAAATAAGGTTTCAATATATGAACATGAATTAATTTATTTTGATTAATTAATTTGACCAATGAACACTAACTAATTACTCCTACTTAATTTTTCAAATATATACTTTCAACGCTATTAACTGTTAAAGCTAAAATAGAAAGAATAATATATTTTGTAAAAATATCAAATATTAACAATTAAGAACAACATGTAAATAAACAGACAGAGTATTTGAATATTGATCGTTTCCCCCTCCAACTAAATTTGAATCGCGCTGCAAGTCTATTCGGGTGGCGCTTCCCACCAGATTTTTTCGATGCTAACATTAGTTAATTGACAATCTATTCTACTGTGCAGGAGTTTTTACCAGAGAGAGTAGCTGCTCAGCTCCTTGTGTTAGTCTGACAAATAGCAAGAAAAAGAAGCCGTAAATTGGGAAAATTCGTCGCCCCCGTTTGTCCAGAAGGGATAGTAAAAAAATACAAAGAATGATTATAAGGCATTCATTTACAGGGACCTGGAAGCATCACCGCTGGAAATGGAGTTTGAGATTTTGCTCGAACATGTGCTGCAATAGTAATAATACGCATCCATCAATGTCCAACGTTGTCTCCACTAACATTGCAATTACAGAATTAGCAAAAAAGGGTTCACTCGAACAAGCACGAAAGCTGTTTGACGAAATGCCTCAAAGATCAATTGTCTCATGGAACACCATGATTTATGGTTATTCCGAATGGGAAATGTTCAGTGAAGCGTTTAGCTTAGTTTCATTGATGCATAGAAGCTATATAAAGCTGAATGAGTCTACCTTGTCCTCAGTACTAAGTGTTTGCGCTCGATCACAGTCGCTCAATCGTGGTAAGGAAGTTCATGGGCTAGTTTTGAAATCTGGATATCAAAGTTTTCAGCTTGTGGGTAGTGCTTTATTGTATCTTTATTCAACGTGTCATGAAATCGAAGAGGCAAGGATGGTATTTGATGTATTGCATCGGGAGAATGAGTTGTTATGGAGCTTGATGCTTGTGGGATATGTTAAATGTAACTTGTTAACTGATGCTTTGGAGATTTTTAGGAAAATGCCAACCCGTGATGTTGTTGCTTGGACCACTTTGATTTCTGGATACTCAAAGGTTGAAGGTGGATGCCAGAAAGCTTTAGAGTTGTTTCGGTCGATGAGAGAGGATATTGAGCTTGTCCCGAATGAATTTACTCTGGATTGTGTTTTGAGGGTGTCTGGTAGATTGGGATCTTTATATGGGGGAAGAGCAATTCATGGGTTGGTAGTGAAGTTTGGGTTTGAGTGGGATCATTCTGTTTCTGGTGCACTAATTGATTTTTATTGTAATTGTGAGGTTCTTGATGATGCTATGTTAGTTTATAGTGCACTAATTAATCCTTCCTTGAATGATTCAAACTTGCTGATTGGAGGGCTAGTCTTGGCAGGCAGGATTGAGGAGGCTCGATATTTGTTTAACGGATTGATCAAGCGAGATCATGTTTACAATTTGATGATTAAAGGATATGCCATGTCTGGTCAAGTAGAGGAGTCAAAACAGTTGTTTCTGGAGATGTCAGAAAGAAATTTAACTTCCATCAATACTATGATTTCTGTGTACTCAAGGAATGGTGAAATCGATAAAGCTGTAGAGCTTTTTGAAGAAGTGAAAGTACAGGGAAATTCTGTTACCTGGAATTCTATGATTTCAGGATATACCCAAAATTATCTGCATGAGAGTGCATTAAAGTTGTATACGACCATGAGAAGATTATCAATTAGCCAAACTAGGTCAACATTTTCAGCCCTGTTTCACGCATGCTCCTGCCTTGGTTCACTTCAACAAGGTCAATTGATTCACGCAGATTTGATTAAGACTCCATTTGAATCCAATAACTATGTTGGAACAGCTCTTGTTGACATGTACTCCAAATGTGGGAGCCTTAATGATGCTAAAACATCCTTTCATAGCATTGCATATCCTAACGTAGCAGCATGGACAGCTCTGATTAATGGGTATGCACATCATGGGCTTGGCTCTGAGGCACTTGTACTTTTTCACCAAATGTTAGATGAAGGGATTGATCCTAATGCAGCAACCTTTGTCGGTGTCTTATTGGCTTGTACTTGTGTGGGTTTGGTTGGAGATGGCACAAGACTTTTCCACGTAATGCAAGAATACTATGGTATAGCACCTACTCTGGAACACTACACGTGCATGGTAGATCTTCTTGGTAGATCAGGCCATTTACATGAAGCTGAGAAGCTTGTTAACAGAATGACTATTGAACCAGACAGCATTATCTTTGTTGCACTGCTTAATGCTTGTTGGTTCTGGATGGACGTGGAAGTTGGAGAGAGGGTGGCAGAAAAACTGTTGTCGTTGGATCCCAAGTCTACATCCGGCTGTGTTATCATGGCCAATATGTATGCAGGATTTGGCAGGTGGTGGGAGAAGATGAGAGTGAGGAAAGCAATGAAGAAACTGCAGTATAAAAAGGATCCTGGATATAGTTGGATTGAACTAAACAACAAGGTTCAATTTTTCTCTGTTGATAATAGAACTCATCCTTTTTGTGATTTAATTTACTCAACTTTGGAAAACCTAACAGCAAATGTGGGCTCCGAAATTAATTTTGATTGTACTTCTTCAAAATTATATGGTGAAAGTGAGTTACTCTCTTAGTTAATCCTCCTGATTATATTGATATGCATAGCTTCCGTGGTGTTTATTGAAATTATTAGTTGTGTCAAAAAATAAATGCAACTAGCATCATATAGATTTCTGCTAAATCAGTTTGACTTCTTATGCATTAAAACTGATTATGGAACTCTGTTTTTTCTCCAAGGCTTCATTTCTTTAGAATGATATTTCACCTAGGTGGGTGCGTGGGATTTGTTATGGATATGCAACGGCTAATCTTTGATATATGAGGCCTTGAAAATCATACTAGGTTCAAAGGCATAGATTCAAGCGTTAGGAGATGCTTTATTCTGGGATATTGTCAGTTCTTGTTCATACACGTTTCCACAATTTTGACGGGTTCTCAGTATATATTCTTTCATTATCCTCTGACAGTATCCATTACAAAGTGGGTATACGTTTCATATTCCTAAGAAATAGTAGGAATATTAGTTTCTGGAGCTGCATCCATTTTCCCGGCATTATTCTGATGTTTTTCTGATCTTCTTTTTGGTAATTCTGATGCCTTTTTGGGGGAAAAGATCTCATACTACATGGTGTTTCCTAAGAAACAGTAGGACTAATAGTTTTTGGAACTGCCTCCCCTTTCCTGTGATAATTCTGATGCTTTTTCAGGGAAAAAAAAAAAGCTCATAGTTTACATGGGGTTCCTTATGGTTCAGATTTGATCTTCTATCGAATTAATCTTTAGAGAAAATGTCCGTTAATAATGCTTATCGTGAATGTAGTATTCAATTACTTTCATATATATTAGACCTAATCGTTACTGATGAGACGAGAGATAATTCAAGATTATGTACTAATTGTATGGTTCCTGTTGACCTGTCAATTGATTGTTTGAATGAGCTTGAAGCAGATTTCCTTTCTCCTGCCTATCCCAGTGATCTTTATTTTCCATTATATTTTCTAAAAATGTGATTGCTGGGTGAAAGTCGATCGTAGCAAAAGTGAAAAAGATAGAGAAAAAAAACCAGCAGCTTCTGGCACAATGTAAGTTCTTCAAACTCCTCAAGAGAAGTAACTGAAGGATTACACAGAGACAAAACAATGTATATATATATATGATATGGTTCACCATGTTATGTACTTGTTGGTCCTCTTTTCTGATCGTTGGTGAGTGGAATGGCTACTCCATTATTCGAGCAAGGTTCTACCTGTTTATCCAAAAATGAAATACTTAGCTATAACACGAAGGATATTGATTGCAATTTGCAACACACATGCCAGAGAGTTGCTTAAGTCTTGGTGCTGAGATTCTCAGTGACAACGAGCATCGATTGATCTTTCTTCTCTTCTAACTTGAATTCTTGCTTGAGTTTGTCATCGTTATACTCCAAATCTGGTCATTTCTGTGGTTCTAATTCCTTTACAGGGTTCTTTCGATACTTGAAATACAGTATAAGCTGCAGGATACAAAGGGGTGTTCCCACCAGATTTGGAGACTGAAAGAAGAAGAAAAAGAAGATTTGTGTACAAGTGAAATGAGAAAGTTGAAGTTGATATTTCATGTAACTACACTTTGTTCTTGGATTTATGGAAAATAAAAGTTTAAAAAGGTAAGTTAGTACTCCCTCTTCAGCTCTGCCCCAGTTTATATGACTCACTTTTCTTTTTAATCAGTCCCACATATTTCTATATTAAGTAATAATTTAACTTTATAATTCTCATTTTACCTTTAATGAAATGATTTATAGTCACACAAATAACTATCACTTATTTTAAACCACCAATTTCAATTTTATTTTTTTTAACTTCGTGTAAAGTTAAACTAACTCATATAAAATAGGACGAAGGAAATAGTAAACAAACCGCTAGAAAGAGATCATGGCTGAGTAGTCCATAGGCCATCCAAAGACCACTAGCAAGAAAAGAGAATAATGACAAGTAAAATGGCATAAACTCCACACTCTTTGTCTTGATCACTTGTCTCTGCAGTACACATATGAGTGTTTATTATAAAACAAATTTTACAAGTTGTTTGACATTAATATTATTTCGTACTAGATAATCATTTACGCTATCAGTATATATATATATCTCGAAATTCAAATACGAAAAATGTCTCACCACAACAACTAAAGGAGAAGCATACATAGCAATTGAAGCAACAAGTCCAATACTCCCTACAAAAACTTTTCGACGCTGGTGTTCATGAACTACAAACGTCGATATAATCCCCGTCGCTACACATATTAGAATAATAGGCACCACCATTTTTGCAACTTCCTTCTGCTTTTAACAAAAAAATAATTAATAATAATGCATACTATATACTATACAAAAAAATTAAAAAAAATTGCATCACACATATATATAACTTGCCTTTCCTTTAGTTGAAGAAAACCAGAAATAAATGAGAATGAATGAGATCTCCAAAAGTATCCCAATTCCATTTATAGTAACCACTGGGAAATTTTCCCATTTATAACTTACTATTGGTAACCCATACCATGTGTAGAGACAACAATTGAATAATGCTAGTACGTAAGGTACACATGAAAATCCTTCAATATTCTTCTTCTTCATAACTCGAGAAAATGTAAGCCTGTCGATAAAAAATTTAAGTTATATACATCATCACATAAGGATTTTTTACATCATGTCACATTTATTTGTTATATATAGCAGGTTATCTATCTTATTACGTACATTGGTGCAGCATAGAGCAACATGGAGGCGACATTCCCTGTGACAAATAAAACCATGCACATTTAATTTAATTATCATGTAGGACATAACGTATAACTTAATTACTAGTTATTTAAAATGAAGTAATATAAATATAAATTATAAAAAAAATATAGTTTACCCATTACTCCAACTGCTAAACGCAATCTTTCACCCATTTTTCTTTAGAGAAAAAAAAACAATAATTGAGGAATTTATAAGTGCTTAGAGGCAAGTAGTTAATTGTCTTTGAATTCTGTTATAATTATATATATATATATATACTATGGTTTTGATTAAAGTGGTGTGTCTACATGTATTTAAATTGTGGGTGGAAGGTGATCAATCATTTTCAAAATAAAAGAAATTAATTAGAAAAGACAAATTTGTGGTAGGAAAATTGGTTGGAAGCTAATCATGGTAATGTATTTTATGGAATAATTTTGTTCTAACTGTAAATGCTCCATTTAAAAATGCTTTATTGGGCTAATAATAGGACAGAGGGAGGGGATGAGAATTGAGATGCATGCAAAAAAGAAAGGCATAAAATTAGATAATTCTTGTTTTAGTAGATAAATAAAATTTGTTCTTTGTGTTTGGTGGAAGATGTTACTAGACTTCCACTATCCACTTAATATTTATGTTGCAAATGTTAAGTCATTAAATTTTGTTTAATATCAAGCTAAGTTTGAATGATTTTATTGATACAAAGACTTAAGTTGAATGATTTTATTGATATAAAATAAAGTTTAGTGATTTTACTAGATAAATTCTCAAAGTTAAGTGATCTTTTGACATATTAACTCGAGTTTTTGCTTATTTCATGTTATTAAATATTTTTTTTAGAATTGAACACTATTAATAATTGAAATAGTTTCTTAATATATAGATAATCCTATTTTTGTCTTAAATTCTTATAAATGACATTTATTTTGAGATAAATTATTTGATTAAAATGACACTTAATTTGAAACGAAAGAAAGTAAAACTCACTAAGTTTTACTGTGATTTATTTTTTTCATCCAGAGGAACCCAAGATGAAGTCTTTTCTTCCACAAGCTTCAAAGGATAGTCACCATTATATATATATATATATATATACTTTTTTTTATAAAATTAAAAAAAAAAAGAATTTTGGTTCGTGTGGTCGTGTCTTACTTTCACTCCATAACAAAGATATTTTTTTACGTGTTTTCGCCATAAAAACAAAATAAAAAAAGGTTCACACGAAGGATATCTTGAAGCTCTAATTACATTAGTAAAAATATATTCTCTCTAATAACTTAAACATTTAGATAATCATGCAACATGCAGAGGTCCTAAGTTTTCGAATATCATTTGATACCATTATCAAAAATAATTCTAACGTGTCGGGCTTATGGAGTCTAATTGAAAAGCATCAAATACATAATCACATCATTCAACGTATTGAAAAGGAATAAAAGAGCAAATCAGATCGATTACCATATATTTGCAGAATACGAATTATGAAATTATATAAAGGTGCAATTTTAATTTGAGGGAAAGGTGATTAGGGAAAAGAATTAACCATTCATATTTATGGTTGATATGATCAGCATTATCTTTTGTGATGTCCCCCATTCATCATCTCAACTTGAAATTATAGCTTACTAAACAAACTTGATTTCCTGATTATTGGCCATATATATCGTATATCTGTCTTGCTTTCATACTTTTTATCACAATTAAATATGATTCTTAAAGACTAGTTAGACTCTTCCTTCACTCATCGTTTTTCAATCATGCTTGTAAAATGACATCGAATTTTTAGTGCTTTTGTTTTGTCTTTTCTTTTAATTGATTGATGGGGTGGAGCATATATTGGAGGATTTAGGCTTAGTATATAGTTAGTACAATATTGTGCAATTACACTAATTACATATTTTAGCAAATAAAGCACCACTTCAAATTAAATTTACTATAATTTGTCTTTGGGATGGTAGGGTTTGAGAGTCTAGTGCGTTAGGGAATTGTAAATAACGCCAAATAGGAAAAACTCTGTGCCTCATGAGATTTAACGTCTTCCAAAATACAACTAGCTAAGTACAAGTGGACAATCATAAGTGGGGTCTGGGACAAAATATACGCAGCTTTACCCCTTACCTTAATGAGATAGAGAGGTTGTTTTCGATTGATTCTCAACAACCTTCCTCTTTTATCCTAGGGAAGACAATGTGAGCGAGGCCACATGGGCGGAGTTCATATAACTAGCCAAGCATATTTTTGGATTTCACGCAGTAATGGGTTTTGGAGACTGGAGTGAGGCTTAGCGAGCTTTATTAGGCCGACTAATGACTACTACATAAACCACTGCCTGAAAAGGCTTAAACAGCTAGAATTATTTCTTTCACGCCCTTGAACTATTACTCACGAATAAATTGAGAAAGCCCCAACATAAAGTTCTGATTCTTACTTCGTAGAGCTGGTGCTGCTAGCCTTTGAGAATGAAATCATCCCAGTCATTCATGGCATCAGTACCCTTATCCAATCGGTTACAGAATCGGATGTGTAAAACATAGATAATTGACTTACAAGTTTTTTACAAGCCACATAACATTTGCCAGTATCTTGTTTTACAATATTTAGTTATGATTCCCCAGTCAATGGAACATATCACTCAACATTATCCAATAAACAACTCCTTAAAATATTATGACAATAATAAAGCAACATCCCTTCATATCATATCCTCAATCCCTAATGCATTATGTAGCTATTTGAAAATCTAACCTGCATCCATTTTCCTTACCTTATCATATGGTTTATTATACTGCTCAATCATTTAAATAAGGATGCACTTACAACAATTTTTAAATTTTATGTCATAACGTGGACTTGCACATGCAGTTTCACTTGTGGCTTATATGGATGACGATCCTCCTCTATTTTATACAAGTGCTATTCTGAATCACAGCAGATGTCACCTATATCATCACAACCCCAAGTTATCCTGAGACAACAAGCACTAGCAGATGCTTGTACAGTATTTCTATTTCCCTTTTGCTTTTACCTAAACTACAAACTTAATGCTCCAAACACGGTAAAGCATATCCGATGACATATATATAGTATAGAAACACGACTAATACAATCAGAGACCACCATGAAAATTAGGACAATTGAAGATCACCATGTCGTAAATATACACATCAGTTGATTCAAACAGGTCTGTAAGGAGAAAAAGAAAATAATATAAGTTGTTTACAGGGTGTGTACTAACAGATTTGGTTTTGAGTCTAGTGAAAGAGGATGTAATTACAACTATAGTGGTAGAAAAGATTAGTGTACACGCAGCTACTATATACTATACAGTATGGGCAAGATTGCTGACACAGGAATAGGGGTATAAATTTTCTCCAATACAATGATCAAATGGTGTTGATTTCTTTAGAATATGTACCGGCGAACATAATCCACTCGAGTTGGATGCTTGAGCTTCATGAGAGCCTTAACTTCATGCTTCCGTACCATCTCTCTCGAAATATTTAGGTTACCCGCAATTTCTCCCAATGTTCTATCACCTTTGCCATCAAGTCCATATCTTTGTCTGATTACTAGACTCTCCTTGGGCTTAAGAGAATCAAGCTGTCAAGGGAGAAACATGATTTCAGATCAGATTTAAAATTAATGGTTCAGAAATCCTGAACGCCTCGTAATTTAACAAACTGAAACTTATAAACTTAAAATGATTTTCATTTATGGCAATACATATCTTAAGATTCAAGATTTACAGGTAGTAGTTCAGCATATCTACTAATAGTGTCCTTTCAACGACAGAAGTTTCCATTACTAATCTTTGAAGTGCTATTAGCATCTGATTCTCTGCTTTGAAAGCCCGATGACCTCATAATGAAGGCCTCTAACAAAAAGAGATGTCAGTTTCAAAGATAGGCTTTGGTCACCAAAGCTTAGATAATCCTAGGGATGGCAAATGGGCATTTTAGGCTGAATTTGAGCGGGTCAAGATGGGCAAACTCAATAAATGAATCCTTGTCCAACCCCTGCCCAAAGTTTACTTGGGATAAGATGGGTTTGCCAAGCTTGGGCTAAACAATGGGTTATAACTCAACCCTCCCAATTTGACCCAACTTTTGTTATTTTTTTAGATCTCCATAAACTTTCTTAACCAAATATGCACAAACAAGTATTCATTATTACATTTTAGAAAAAGTTATAAATGTATCTAATTTTATAACCATAAATAATTCTGTGATATTTCGTAAATCGCCCAAGTGATATTACTTCACTCTTAACAGTTCTCTTTTTCCCCATATATGTGCAAGTTAAACAGCATAAGGTTTTGTATAAAAAATAAGTCACCTTATCCATTATAAACAAGAACGAAATTATGTGCTTTGGGGTGTTCAAGATATATATTCAGTCACCAAGGATATTCAAATGTTATTTCGAGGACTCGGATGGTTAATTCAGGAATTCACAGAGGAAAAAACATTACCACATCATCAAGAGCAAGCCTGAGTAGAGCTGGCTGCTTCCTCTTATCCCCATCAACACCATCTACGTCAGTTATTCCATTGATGAGTTCTTCTTGGGTTGTCTTGTTTCTTGCATGGAGAGAGGAGACAGGTTTAGATACTTTCATCACTTCATGGTATCTCTCAGGGGAAAGTCCAACTCTTTTAATTATTTCTTCATCTGTTGGTATCCTCTGAAGCTCAAACAGCAACTCCAATTTGGCCTTCTGGATTTCCACTCTGATCTGAATCAGAAAAAGAATATCATTTTTTTTCGCACTGACTAATTGATAATTATGAGCAAATGAGTCCCGCAGATCAGACATTTCCTTGAAGACGAGAAGTATACTCCTAATGGGGTCACAAAAGAACTTACAGCTATTTAATGGATTTTCCATTTTATCTATACAAATTCCTTTAGTTGGAAGCCAAGAATGATTTTATTTTACCAAGTGAAAATGTCTCATAAATAGAGATAATATTGTTTTTTCACCAAATGAAACAATTCCTTGGCTTCCAGACAGTGACAGAACAAAGAAATTGGTTCTTTGATGGGTAAACAATAAAATGTAAAAACACTGGCAGATAGAAGAAAGAAAACGTACAGATTCAAGCCCGAATGGAACTTTGGTGAAGCTTGAGGTTGTCATAGAACGTATTATGGCATGCCTTATCCAAAAAAGACCATAGGTTGATAGCCTGAATTTTCTATTAGGTTCAAATCGGTCAATAGCTGTGATTAGACCCTTGACGCCTGCCTGACAGAGGTCTTGGAATCTTGACCCATTTGCAAAATCTTGAAAATATTTGTTCATAACAAACAAAACAAGTCGTAGATTGTGCTGCAACCGAACAAGACTGCAAAGGTGAGTTATTTATAAAGCTAAAACACATCTAATATCTGGATGCATATGTAAGTTAGACGACATCAAGAACGTGGGGTAGTTCAAGTTACACTAGTACTATTGGCTTCATTTCCCCTTTCAGGGGCATAGATTCAAGATCAATATTTCAGAATTTCAAGTATACAAGACACTCACAAGAAAATACAGAAGATAATTAAGTGTGCTTTATAACATGTAAAACTACCTAGCACATATTACTGTTTGTAAGCAGTACATGGGAAGATTGGCCAGTTTCAATGATATAACAAATTCATGTTGAGGAATTATGAAAAAACAGATCACATCAGGATCGCTTGACGCGGATTATAAAACCAGAAACAAGTTTACTTTTGCTTGAGGCATAAATTGAACTTCTAAGGTGCACAGCAAGAAGGTCTTACAAGTAAAAAGAAAGAAAGTACCTTAATCAGCTTATTTCTAGCAGCTCGACCAACTTCCAGCTTTTTCCGTAGTTCAGAGGCATCCATATTTGTTACCTCAGCCACTTCACCATCAGTTGGTTCTCGCCCCAAATCGTTTTGCAAGTTTTCTTTAACTTGTAGGATTGCCTAAATAACAACATCTGACTCTCAATCGTAAAGCAAAACAATAGCAACACTAAAATCCAATGAATAAACACAAACTTCCTTTTACGTTTAATTTTTTTTCAGTTAACTGTAAAATGTGTGTACCTTCATAGGTTGCATCAACTTGAAGAGCCACACATGCTCAGATGATGGAAGCACTGGAGGGATCTTCATTTTCTTCCAGTCTAAGCTTGCTAAGTCAGTAGCACCTGAATATTCTCTGACAAGCTTATCAATTTTTTCATCTTCTGTGTCCTCTTTAAGTTTTCTTCTTTCGGATGAAGCAACCATTTCACCTTCTTTATTCTTTAGTAAAGCAATCCTCTGGTCAAGATTCAACCTCTTTGACTTCTTTCTACGATTTTTGACCACATTATCAGCAACTTCTTTCTTCGCTTCCTCATCACCTTCTACAATCCTCTTCCTCGTCCTTGGCCTTCTCTTCACCAAATGATCCTGAACTTCTGTATTGGAGCTAGCAGTTTCCAGACTGCGCTTGTAGATACTTTCAAGTTTGGCAGCAGCTTCACTGTAGTCTAATTCTAACGTACTTGGAGAGGCTTCGATCGCTACAGCATGCACTCTCTCGGAACGCTTAGACACTCGTCTTGACCTCTTTTCATTTTCTTTAGATGTTTCAATAGGCAAGGATATGGATTCTTTAGGTGCAATTAAAGTTGTATTCTTCGTTTTATCTTTTTTAAACGATACAATTACTGGCCTTTTAAGCGGACTTAAACGAGTCGAAAACCTTGAGCTTAATCCCAATGGACTTCGAGATGCAGAGCTTGAAACAGTCACAACTCCCATGCCAAGTTGTGCTATCAAAATTTTACTCAATGAACAGTAGAGCTTCTCACAGACTATTCCCCTGTCAAATCCAATATACATGCATTATGATATGTAAAATAAATTTAACTCAACTGGAAAACAAATGGTTGAGGAAATTCTCTAGGGCATGAAATATGTTCTTTTTCTGTTTGTGTCCTGAAGAAGCTTCACTACGAACAATCAACAAATTAAAGTTTATTAGTTGAAAATTCCGTAGGGTATTCACAAAAAAAGGCATAATAAATAAATGTGTCCTTTAACTTGGCTTTAGTTGGAATCTATGCCCGTGCAGAAGTAGACACTTACAGTTGCGTAAAGTTGATCAAGTAGAGACACGTACCGTACGTGGCATACATAATGAATGTAGTGTCACCTAGGACGTGAATTGTCATATAAGACACCCCATAGGACACATGGTCTACTTGTTCAACTTTTACGCGGTTAAATGTCTATTTTTACACGCCCAAAATTAGAGGACATAGATGTCACTTATGGTCAAGTTAAAGGGGCATGTTTATGTATTATGTGTAAGCAATTCTGAGATTCTGTTAACTGAATATCATAAGCAAGTTCGATTTGGAGAATCACTCTACTATTCAATCACAATCATCTTATTTTCTAAAATAAATTCTGTTTCCTCATTTTCCACAAGATCGGAGTACTAAGACATTGAAGATGCATCAGTTGAAACAAATCGGAAACTAATCTCTAACTCAATCAAACGACAACGACGCCGGAAGGAGGTAAATCAAAACTATTTAGAGCACTATTTAACAAACTTACTCAATTTCAGTACTCATAAATCAGAAAACAATATATCGCACCTGAAACGGAGCCCAATCGAATTTCAACTCTCACAAAGTAATTGATCCCGGCGACGATGAAGATTCCGGTAGCGAAACTGATCAAGGCAGAATTTTTATTTATTTTTCTCAAACAAAAATGATCGCAGTGGAAACTTGAGAGGCTGAAAATGGAAGTGTGGTAGTTAATAAGAAAATATTTTTTTCTAAATAACAATATATACCTTGTCGAATTTCGGTGTCCACAAGCTCTTTTCTCCGACTATCCAACGGTTAAGATTTCTTGTTTAGAAGATCAACGGTGTAAAATTTTTGTCCATGTGGATTGAAAAGGAGAAAGTGATGACGTGGACAGTGCCATAGCAGAAGAATAATGGGAGTGAAAGAGCATACGTGGCAAGTTGAGAGTGGAAGCAGAGATATTTTGAAAGAGTATATGGATGTGGTTACTGACACGACGTATTGTTTTTTTATTGTTTAAAAAAAATGTTCTAGTGGGACCTACTGATGAAGTGGTGTGGAGAATCTTACGTTTCTTATTTTGTGCCATTTGAATTAATATATTTTCTAGTTTATGTTTATTAGTTGTCTGCCTCATAATTTACACAAGCAGTGAATCTTGACTATTACTAGTATTATTTGAATTTTTAAGGTGATTTTAGTAAGGTGTATAAGAATAGTATTGAATATAATGTATCGTATTAATGGTTGTATTAATTAGTTACTATATTGAGATTATTTTTATGTTGTGTTTGATTTGTTGTATTAAAAATAGCATACGCACTTTTATTATAAAAGTTATTGTTGACTTATTGTATATATTAGTAGTTTAGAAATGGTAAAATGTTAAAACTCTAAAGAGAAAAAGCATAAGACAAAACTTTTAGAATCAAGTCTCTTTCAAAGAGGGCCAATATGAACACTGGAAATTTTCATGCCCTTTGAATATTGGAAAGGTTCTCATATTGTTGATTTGTTGATTAACCGATAAATCAATTGATTATCGTTAAATTTTGAATCAACTAATATCTTTATTGGTAAGGCTATATATATATATATAGTGTATTTAAAAAATCAACAACTAATAAACTTAACTATTAAGTGCAAATATTCAATTGAACTATTCGATAAGTACTCATAATGGCTAACATAAGCTCTCGTCTTGTTTTCATGCTCATAGTCAAGCTCATTTTCTCTGTCCTAATTTATATGTGTTATTTTAACTTGGCATGAAGTTAAAGAAATGCTTTTGAATTTTGTGGTTTAAAATAAGTTGTAGATATTTGTGTGGCTAGAAACCATTTCATTAAGGGTAAAATGAACATTTTAAAGTTAAATTGTTACTAATTATGAAAATGTGTCCTTTTTGAGATGAACTAAAAAGAAAGTAGGTCATATAAATTGAGACAGAAAAAATAGTTAATTTTGAGCGTGTGTGGTTGAAATTTATTAAAAGCACCTGGACAAAACTATTTATAAAATTTGAGGAAAGGTGAATTGGACGAGTATATATGGAATCAAAAGTCAGAGCTAAAATTAATCTTGGAAATATCATTGTGATAATTAATGTATCATTTCTTTTTATAGATATACACACAATATATACTTGATATACAATTTTCCCATGTATTTAAATGTGTTTCGTGGACACAAGACTATAGAGCTCTTGAACTACCTATATGAACAAGAGCAGATAAGTGCTTAATTGGACAAAGGACGACTCTTCATCACTGCTCTTCAGCAATATTCATCATATGATCCAAGAGAATCACTAAGAATTGCTCTTGTTATTTTGTTAATTATTCACATTATCAAAGGGTTAATATATTATAAGTTTATAAAATTTTGTAAGTCTAATTATGATGTCATACTGAACTTTAGAAGTATATGATTAAAGTTGTAAGATTCACATTCAAAAATAATAGTACTAATATTTACCTGGAGTTTGACATATTACTTATGCAAGTAAATTTAAGTAAAACTTCAGACATTTTACCTAAAATTTTGTTTGACATATTATATGATATATTGTGCCAAAGCCAAACTACGCTACCATTTGGCCGTAGTTTTCCAAATTTTTTTGGCAAATATTATTTGGGTGAAATTTTATCATGAGTTTGGCCATAGTATTTGGAAAACATATTTCACTTTTTTAAGAAATATGATTTATACCCATAAGTTTTAAACTATCAAAATTAACCATACGTTTGTATTACACAGCAAGATAGAAATGTCGACGTAACAAGATTCATGACTTCCGCAACAAGCCAATTAGATCTTCATTGCAACAAATAACAAGTAGTGTCTATGACACTGGAGCAATGTGGTAGTTCGGAGCGAGTGCAACAAGCATCATTCCATACATCGTCGTGAAGTAGACAAAGCTAATGACTTTGTTACCCTGAGTCGATTGTTCGTCATTTTCATCAACAACCATATCAACACTTTTATATTCACTGAATATTCCATCACTGTTTTGTTGTTCACGTAAAAAAATTATGTGTTACAACGCAAACAACAACTATAGAGGGTGTTTTTGTAAAAGATAAAATTTTGGTGTAGATATTGAATTTTTAAATGCCCTCAAATAATGAGATTTGGTCCAAATACTAGTTTTTTCTAGTATTTGGAAATTTGGGTTATTTGCCAAAATATCATATATATATAAAAGAGAACCTTAGGCCCGCCTACGTGGCGCCACCACAGATCAGAATTTCCTTTTAATTTATTTTTTTCTAAACTAGCCTTCACAGTTCATGAAAAATTGTGACTTTTAAGAAAAGTTTCAACTTTTATGAAGAGTTGCGACTTTATGAAAGGTAGTGACCTTTTCGGAGGGTTGTGACATTTCCAAAGAGTTGTGACCTTTCCGATAAGGCACAATAAGCATTTGTTCACACTACCCTTTGTTGCATTTAAATAGAGGAATTTCCTCTCATTTTAAAACAATAAAAATTTTGAACTTCTTCTTCTTCTTATTCTGCACAATTAAATATTCATGTATTTTGCTCTTGTTGAGTGGCTTACTGACACCATTGTTTTGTATCAATACGTTGTTGAATAAAATTGTTCCATCCTAAGAGGATCTAATTCTTTAAACCCGTGTATTAGAGGGGAATAATTTTTTTTAGGGGACATTGTGCACTTAGCGGACTCGATTTTTTCCTTTCTGTTTCATTCTAATTTTACATATCCTGGTATTTTTTTACAGTCATTAATTTATGCTTATGATGCTAATTGTTGTTTTTGAGTACATGTTTTAAACTCTATTGTTTATGTTTCTGCAAAGTTATTGTCTCCAGTTATATTGAACATATACACATATAGTAGGTATATTCATTGTGTAGACAATAATTATTGTACTCAGTTTCAACAATTCATGTTTTGATATTTTATATAAAGTTCTATGACTTAAAAGTACTACATATAAGCTTACATATTATCTATTTAACATAGATATGATTTTTTTTAAAAAGTTTCTTCACTTATCAATTGGATAAATTCTTTATGATAATTCAAAAGTTATAATTGCTTTCATGTTCAGGCGTAATTTCTTTTTTGAATCTGTTAACAAGTTTTTAAAATTTTTCCCTGAGACATATATCACAATTGTATAATCTATGCAACTTTAATGTGTTCTTTTCTTACGAAATGTCTTTGTATATATATTCTTATTTTCTTCTTTATTTTCCTTTTAATGTTGATTAAAGAACCAAAGATTTATTATTTCCTGAATAATTCATCCATTAGAGGTTCTTGAGTTATGTGATAATGACAAATAATCAAATTCATGTTGGAATATTGTTAATATTTTTTTAAGATCCTATTTTTTTATTTTTTTTAATATATGGATATTAGTAAAGGATTATTTACAAGTTCAATGCAATTATTATTTATGACCGCGCGAAGGGCGGACAAATTACCTAGTTTGCTAAGTAATGATAAATTATATAGACAAACACTATTTGTCAAATTTCTTATTTAGGAAATCTATGGCCAAACGGATATGTTTGATGTTGTGGCTCTTTGACATTAGCGTAGATGACTGAACTTGGCCATTTATGCTTAAAACCTCATGTATCAAGTCATCTATCCATCAATTTTAATATGTATAATGATTATATCCATTGGATGAGTGGAAATAATCCTAATGGTGTAGCTTTATGTTTTGTAGAGGTATTTTTGTAAATAAATAAAAATTAGAAATTACATAATACATAATTATTTTTATATA